AGTTTAAGGTGCAGGGTTTCTTCAAACACACTTCGTCAAGACTGGCATTCGGTCAAAGATCCAGGACTTGAGGCATGAACCGCTGGATCTTGGGCCTCATGAATAAGAACGGCCGACATGCAAAATTCCAAAAACTCCTGCAGAATGCCATCATAATTTGATACTTACTCCCTCCTTATTTCAGGACTATTCTCTTCTTATTTCCGGTGCGAAGCTTGCCCAAAAATAACTACTAATAAGGATTATTTCCTCCTTATTTTCGCTCGGTGGTCTCTTCTCGTATCCTTTCCGAAATAATCCCTAATAGGGACTAATAGCCGCTATTAGTCCCTATTAGCCACTGTTCGGGATTATTGGTGTTATCTGCCTGGCTCAACCACTCTTATTTATTTGGGGAGGGGGGTCCAGGGGAGGGGGGCAAGGCTTCTTGTGAAAGAAGATATCCTATATCCCAGCTTCCGTTGTCCTGGGAAGCTTGCTCGACCGCTATCATTGTGAGGGCAAGCAGCTCCTCTGCTCCGGCCGTGTCCCCGGCTAACATCGTGTCTGCTATGTTTGCCAGCAGCCAGAACACTATGCCCAAGGACCTTTGGCTGCCAAAACCTCCGAACCTTTCGGCATAAGCCGTGAAGAGGGGCCTTCGCCCAGCTAACTCGGCACGGGAGATCGGGAGAGGCTCGGCAGGGGCAAGGCGTCGAAGGGCCTGCTGGCTCACCTGTAGCATAAAATTGCCTGTCCTGCTGGCCAACTGCTCCTGTAGCTTCTCGCGTTTGCTGGCCCCTCGGGACCCAAGCGCGCCGGACCCTAAGGCAGCCAGAGAAGGCTCGGCGGCATCTGTCTGAGAAACCAGGTGGCCACTAAAGTGCCAAGGGCTCGGCTCTGCCGGAGCATCGCATCCTCGATGGGAGAGGCCCGGGGAGGCACCACCACTTCTCCAGTGGCCTCGTCGATCGTCATCTCCTCGGGCACCGGGGCAGGCAGCACAGGCGGGGGACTTTGCAGCACGGGGGCCCGAGTTTGGAGGAGCGCCCAAGACGGTCTTGAGGGAGCCCAGTGCCCCCGCAGGTGAGGCCATTGACTGCACTATACGATGGCTTGCGGTGGCCTCGCCGGCTGGAGCTTGCGGGGGGAGAGGCCTTTCCTCCAAAGCCCTCTGCTTTGCAGCAATCTCTTGAACCTGCTGGGTCAGGGCCGGCAACAAGGCCAGCATCGAGTCCATGCTCTCGGCTAGCTGGGCTGTGGTGGCACGCTTCGCCTTGGGATTTGCTCGCCTCTTGGCTGCCGAGCCTTGCGCGGGGGGCGCCTCTACCTCTACCTCTTCGGCGGCAGAGTAAAAAGCCATTCGGTCGCCCGCCGTGGTGGTGACCCAGGCTCGGGCCAGACGCAGGGCATCGCCATGCACTAGCAGCTGGTGAGGCATGCCATCGACAAAAGGCAGAACTTCGACGGGCGAGGTGACAGGGTCGTACCGGGACAGGTGCGTAGCCACCTCCAGGGCAAAGTCCACTACCACAACTTCTGTTGACTCGCTGTTGGGGATCAAGGCTCCTTCTTCCTCTTCCTCGGAGAGGGGAACAGCCAGGGTCGCAGAGGGACCAACCAAGAGCTCGGGACCGCCTCCTTGACCTGCCGCCAGGAGGGCATCGTCGAGAGCTCCCACAGGGACCACCGCTAAGACACCGCCTTCTCTGAGGAGCAAAGGCACAAACACGCAAGGTCGGGGCGGCACACAAGGTAGCTCGAGAACCAAGGCTCCAGCATCGGAAGGCGACTGGAGAAACTCCTGAATCAATTCCATAGCGAAGCTTCAGGGAAAGGGACCCGAGCGGCCAAGGCGTAGATCCTGCACTCTCCCTCCGTCGGGAAACCGTGACAGACTGTGTCGCTGCGCTCCAACTCGCCCACAAAAGCTTTGAACTTCCCAAAGGAAGTGAAGTAGCGCGGCTCGGTGCTGCCACGGCAGCGCAAAACAACGTACACGCGACTACGAGTCGCCAGCACCGGGGTGGGATCCACCACCGTGCGTTCACCTCGGAGAACGGCGCCTGCCTGAAGACCTGATTGCCAAGCACGGGTAGCCCTGGGAAGGCGATCCGAAGGCCGAAGGCTATTAACCAAGAAGAGGGCCTCACCAGACAAGGGGTCACCCAGGCTAGGGCCAGCACTGGAAGAACGAGGAGGAGACGCGGTAGCGTTGTGACGGTAGGCAAAGGCAGGAAGGGGAGCAGCACTCGAGGCCGCACCAGCAGACGCGCTACGAACCCCAGGCCCACTAACAACCCTAGAGTCCCTAGGACTATCAACAACCTCCCACTCAGCACCGGACTCAGCTTCGATCTCGGCAAGGGCACCACGGAGGGCGTCCACAAGTGAACGGACGGTGTCAGCCAGAGGCCTCCTACTCATGCAAGTAGCCCCGGAGGCGAAGGGAGGAAGGTCGCTGAAGAAAAGAAGGCGCAGGTGAGGGGTCAGAAGCAAAGGCGGACTGGGCCACAGGAGCGAGCAGGGCGGTCCTAAAGAAGACCAAGGCAGCAAGAAATCCAAAGGAGGCCCCGCAGCCGAACGCAAGTCCAAGCACAGTGAAGCTGCCGGAGCAATGAGAAGGGCAGCCCAATCCCCACCAGTTGGACGCAGAACCCTGAAGGAAAAGACCCAACACCTTAGCCAGGTCCATGCTTGAGCACGCATGTGCATCGGAAGCTTCAGCCTTAGTGTTCAGGGTTCAGGGTTTAGCGTTTAGGGTTCAGGGTGTGGGGCTCAAGGGAGGAATCTGCAAAGCCAAGTCGCACAATAAAAAAGCGAAGCTCAACAGACCTTGACTTGTAGAGTCCTGACCCGGAAACGAGAACTACCAGATGTCAGACACTTGAGGATGCCTTTACAACACATCCCGCCACAAGCCGGCTATGGTCTGGGGTTGAGCCTTCAAGGTTTAGGTCATAAGAAAAATACGAATACGAGGTACAGGGTTCCTTTGACCGTATATCGCTCAGCCCTGCACCCCGAAAGCCCTAAACCGCTGGGAACCGTTGCACCATAGAAACAACCCGGGATCCGGCAAAAAGAGATCTAAAGCGTTGTGGGAGTTCGGATTTACGGGGTGGCTTGGTCTTGCCTTCCCTTTTGAACTTTTCCCGGGCTTTAGGCCGTGTACTCATACGCGTTTGTCATGGAGTGGTTGGTTCTTTGGGGGTTACATGGGTCCTAAACCCTGCACTGGATTCGAGACCCTGATGTTCAATCGCAAACGAAGGATCGCAGGAATCAACTCGACTCCGGAAAAGGCCCACAGCCATGAGGATGGTTTAGGAGTCGGCCCGAAGACGGACACCCTCGAATGCTAGGCTGCAAGTCAGCAAACCACCAGAACCGTGAGTGAAGAAGCTCGATGCTTGCAAGCTGACCCTCAAGGCCCAAGCCCCATGGCCTGCAACCTGCGAGAAAGAGATTCGGACAAGCAGAACCCAACCCATATAATGGAGCCCTGAACACTAAGCCCTAAACCCCAAAACCCAAGCTTAAAACCCCGAAACCCTATACCCTCAACCCTTTCACCCCTAGATCCCTACAGCCTAAAGCCCTAAATCCTCAACCCCACGCCGTCTCCTCGGCCAGGCCTGATAACTGGACATCGCCAGCACTGGGACATCGGCCTCCCATCAGTGGGGTTGATAATGATACCGTATAATATAGTATAAGAAAATGTAGTATAATGCATATATTTATATGTATATCGATATATATCTATATATATTTTGAATATTATCGTATATTTTCCATGCTAGGTCGTGCGGTTCGGCGGTGCGGTTCGGCGCTTCATGCCGAGGATACACGGGATAGGGTGCAGCAATCAAGCCCTGAAAAGCCCGAACCACAAAGCCAGAAACCCTTCCTGCCATTGGGCCCTAAACCCTAAACCCTCAACCCTAAACCCTGTCGGGTTCGGGAAATCCACCGGGACACGCGAGAAAGCTCTATGCGGCAGAAACGCAGAGAGGCTCGGTATCAGAAACAGAGCTCCCCTAAACCCTAAACCCTAGAGATCCACCCTTAAGATCCACCGAACCCTAAAGATCCACCAAACCCTAGAGATCCACTAAACCCTGAAGATCCACTAGACCCGAAAGATCCACTAAACCCTGGAGATTCACCGAACAAGCAGCCTAAGCCCTAAACCCTAAACCCTAAACCCTAAACCCCTAAACCCCTAAACCTCAACCCTAAACACCTAAACCCTAAACCCTAAACCCTAAACC